CCCCCTTTCCTCGTGTCCCACCCCCTCCAAGTAGAACACCTCTCGACCTCTCATCTTGCTGATAAAAACAGCATGACCCCTTGTCCTCCCTCCCAACTGCCGTGGCTGATCCGACCCAGATAAGTTTGACCCAAAGGAGAACAAAACCCACAATATCGCCCCTACCCTCTCAAGGATCACACCTCTCACCTTGTGTAACCCTCGCAAGGAGGGGCTCCAATCCTGAGGGAGATAATTCAATCAGCACCTATGAGCCCAAATCCTACAATATCACAACTTGAGACTCAATTGTAACCAGTTTTTTAAAAATCCTTCAAACAAGTGACATGAAATATCAAATTAAAAAAAAAAAAAAAACTTATCTGCACAAATATGAAAAACTACGTCAGATTTAGAATTAGATCAAAGATTGATAAATGTAGGACATGAATTCCACTTTGAGAAAATCAATTTGTAACCCTTTGTAATTCAAATATGAGTAATCATTCATAAGGATTAGAGCAAAAACTCAGATTACGAATTCAAATTAGGAATCTTGCTCAGAAAATACGAATTTAAGATAAAAAATCCTGCTAAGAAAATACGAATTTGAGATTAGGGATCTTGCTCAGAATCAGAAAAAGCGAATTTCAGATTAGGGATCAATTACATCCAGAAAACACCTAAGATCTCATGAATCAGATTTTAAACAACGCACAATCGTAAAAACGAAATCATTCAAAAACAACCTCTGGAAAAAATTCCCAGTCATGCCAGCATCAGAATGCATCACCGTCAGAAAAATCCAGATCATTTTTTTGCGACAGAAAAATAAACACTCAGGAAGGATTTTATAGGCTTGTAATCAGAAGGAAATTAGCACCTCAACCATCAGCGGACAATCTACATAATTCCTCACCAACCCTAATTCCCCCCCCCCCCGCACGTCATGTTCTTTCTCTCTCCCAACCTCCACCTCCTCCTTCATTGGCTTCAAAAGCATCTCAGCTGCTCGTGACCTGCATCACATCTAACCAAAAAGCTGAACGATGAAGATTGTCGGACTGTGGCCAACACTTACCACAACACAGCCACGTAGCGAGCCCCAACCGCCGAGCCCGTCGACGACCCCTCGCTGGCAGTCTGGAGGGAAAAAGAACATCCATGGCGGCAGAAACCTACTCGATCCGCCATCTTTCGTAGCCCGCCATTAGAATTTTCACCAAGAACAGACCTAAGGGCAATATTCCCAGGGAAACGAAAGCAGCACCAAACCCACTCCTCCCCGTCTCATCGCACGTCCCTCTCCTCACGCAGCGGTAGAGAAGGTAGAAACGTACCACCGTCGTTGAGGCACAACCACCCGCATCCCACACAGCTACCATCCAAGTATCGCCGTGTACCACAGTGGGCCAACCTCCGGAAGGTACCAGCTCTCGCCGTGAAAACGCGATGTCGATATGGGGCGCAGCGCTCCTGGTAGCGCTGCACCCTTCTCCCCCAGTTCGGACGTGAAACTCCACGCACTCAATTTTTTCAAAAATCATTGGCACACCCCCATTGGCACTTTCCAGGCCCTTTTCCGCATTTTAGTCACTCCGACAAGGAAAGCAGTGTAGGACGTGACCCAAAGCTTCACACCGGGTGCCCAATGCTTGGTCCTGACACATTCCCTGCTGAACCCTGGCTTGTACGGCCCACCTACAGGTCGTGTGCAGCCCCCATATGTTCTCTTGTGAACATGGATGTGGCTGAAGGGTACACCCATGTCACTAAACAGGCCGGAGTTTGAATTCTGTGGACTCAGATGAACATAGTCGCTCTGGAGCCTGAGTTCAAATTCTGTAGATTCAGATGAACATAATAACCTACAATCATAGAACTGGCTTATGATTCTACAGGATTCAAACTCAGCCTCATCTGATACTTCAGGATTCACACTCAGGCTTGGCCTATTTATCAACAGTGAGATGGGTGTACCCTCAGCCACATCCGTGTTCACAAGAAAACATGTTGGGGTTGCACCCAACCTGTAGGTGGGCCATACCAGCCAGGTGTAGGCAGGGAAGGCATCAGGACGCAGCATTGGCCAGTCTGGTGGAGGTATCAGCAGGGAGCATTGGCCAGTCTGGGGTGTGAGGGACTGTGCTGAGGGAGGGTGTCTGACAGGAGGGCGGACGCCCTGAGCATTGGCCAGTGGCTGAAGCCTGATTTTGAATCTTGTAGTACCAGATGAACATAACAACCTATGATCATCGATCTGACCTGCCCCAGGTAATCAAATTTATTATGATTTTTTTTTTTTTTTTAATTATGTTCATCTGATTCTGCAGGCCAGGCGTCAGAGATATAATGCATCTGATTTTGAAGGATTTGAACTCCGGCTTGCAGGGCTGTACCCTTCAGCCACATCCCAGCTCACCAGAGAGCATGTGGGGACTGCACGTAACCTGTACGTGGGCCACACCAGCCACGTGTCAGCAGGGCATGCATCAGGACCAAGTGGTGGCCAGGGGCATGCGTCAGGGCCAAGCATGGGCCAATGGCTGCACCTCTCCTCGGGTCCGTTATGGTCCCCTCCGGTCGCCTCCCCTATGAACATTAGCAGTATCTGCCAACTGCCTACCTCTCAGGCTGGATGGCGCACCAAGTGAGTGAGCGCAGGTTTTATGCGTGTCACCCTTGCACAGGGCCCATGCTAATCTTCTCTGTATGGTGTCCCGAAGGGCCAATTGTGCCCACGTAAGTACGTGAGGGAAGCAAAACTTATAAAAAATCGTTGTGCGTGCCTTTCATTTTGTATGGCAATGTCCTTCGGGACATCTGGTAAAATTGGAACGATACAGAGAAGATTAGCATGGCCCTTGCGCAAGGATGACACGCATAAATCGAGAAATGGTCCAAATTAAAAAAAATAAAAATAAATAAATAAATAAATTTGTATGGAATCGAACCCATAGCGCGCATTACCAACGGAGGGGTAGGCCAGTGACCCATCTGTCAAATTCGCCTTTTCTTCCGCCCTTTTTTTGAACCATCGGAGTTATTTCAGTTGAAGTAGCACTTCGGGGCGGGGCACAACTGCGCGCGCGAAGGCGAAGACTTTTAGCGCCATCGTCGTTAAGGCGGGAGTTGTGATCATTCTCAGCTCCCAACAACAAGGGAGGGGATTTCGTGCCAGGGCATTCTAGAATGCGCCAAAAAATAGAGAGTAAGGAAAGAAGCAGGATTTTTGGGAGGACAGTGGTGGCAAGCTCGCCCTGAGAAGAGCAGCAGCAGCAGCAGCAGCAGCAGCAGCAGAAAAAAAGCATCACGTGGGGGAAGAGAAAGGTAACGCTACGGGGGTATGGTCACTCTGACCAGGGTACAGATCGATAGGCTAGGAGAAGCGGATCTGGTTTATCTTATTTTTTTATTGTTTTTTCGTTTTGATTGTCGTCTTAACGTTTGTCGTTTGGTGATCCGTTTTTTTGGGTTTTAGTTTGGGTTTTATGGTTTGTTTTTTACTTCGGACGGGGGCCGGATTTCGATCAAATACTTGTGTTTTTTTCGTATTTTCACGACTGTCGTCGGATATGCTATAGGTTTTCTTTGGATTGTCTGCGGGATTCCTTTGATCTGTGCAGAACGACTTCGGATATCGGTGGCTGGCGAGAATTTACTGGACCAAAAGCCTTCTCAGTAGTAAATAACGTTTTCAGGATCGTGTGACTGAGAATGTTCGGCTGTGACCAGACAGGGAAAATAGGGGGAAAGTAGAGTTTCTCCGTGCCAGTGGATTTCGGGAATAAGTTTTGTACGCATTACGCGCGTCTTTTCGACTGCGGTTACGAATAGATGGACAGGTACCGGGTCTGTGTAAGGGTCCGCAAAGTAGCGGGAAAGCTGAAAAACGGCGGGAGATAATATTTACTCCGGACAAGCTACGGAAAAACGGGGTCTGCCCGATGATCTTCTAGCGTACAAGCAGGTAAAAAGTGACTGGGTTAGTAGGGTACCACAGAATTTCTCTGAGAAACCGAGCTAGGAGCGAAGTGTTTGAAGTAAGAGCTTCTAGCGTAGGCGGTAGCGGTGGTAAGTGATGTAGCTCGACTATAAGTAGTTTCCCAAGGTTACTTTCAAGCATCTCGAAAACACCCCCTGATGAGGTCGCTACTGGCGGCGACCGAAACTAGTCGGGGATGCCAGCTCCTCTGTCTTGATGGCGGTGGAACCATAGCGAAAGCTATGACATGTGCTTCATTGTATATCTTCGGATTTTTTTTTTTCGAGATCTTTTTTCACATGTTTCGGCTGCGTTTGCGGCTATGTGTTTTGCGTTCGCGTCGGTTCTATCCGACTCTGCTTTCTCAAGCATCTCGAAAACACCCCCTGATGAGGTCGCTACTGGCGGCGACCGAAACTAGTCGGGGATGCCAGCTCCTCTGTCTTGATGGGGGTGGAACCATAGCGAAAGCTATGACATGTGCTTCATTGTATATCTTCGGATTTTTTTTTTTCGAGATCTTTTTTCACATGTTTCGGCTGCGTTTGCGGCTATGTGTTTTGCGTTCGCGTCGGTTCTATCCGACTCTGCTTTCTCTATTACTTAAAGGTAGGAGGGGAGAGAGGCAAAAAAAAAAAAAAAAAAGGTAGCAAGAGAAAAGGAGGAAGGCGGAGGCGCTGTTGACGACATCTCGCCCGATGCTCGATAACTTCACCTCAGCCAGGAATGAATGAGGGCATAACTCACAGTGGGACGAGTTTATTTTACCTGTTTCAGGGCGTGAATGCGGTCAGATGCACGCAAGTACGGCCGTAAATACTGTCGGACACATTAAAGGTAGAGCCAGTGTGAATGCGCCCTGAAAGAAGGAGAAGGAAGATCTTCCCCCCCTCTGGGGAAGAGCCAAAGGAAGAACGAAGCTTCTCTGACGACGATCTTCGTTTTTGCGTATTTCTTCCACTGGCAGACAACATTAGGATTTCTTTGGCCGAATCTGGACGCATTTACGGTTAGACGCCTCCAGGAAAGTCAGAGCTCGGCGTGTATAACCTGAGGGACAAGGAAGAAGAAAGTCGACTGCCTCTAAAATCTGCCTGCCATTGACAATGCTTTGAATTCTTCCAGGTACTATCAAGTCCCTTGTTGAGGTAAACGGAAGAAAAGGAGGAGGAGGAGGAGGGGAGGAAAAGGAGGAGGAGGAGGAGGAGGAGGAGGGGAGGAAAAGGAGGAGGAGGAGGAGGAGGAGGAGGAGGAGGAGGACGAAAGAGCAGTCGACAAGGAGAGGGAGAGGACGACAGTTCGTTGGCGGGAAACGATGTTTCGCGCCATTGTCTCAAGGAGTTCTACACTTGATTGGACAAGGCGATGGCGGGCAAATGACCCGAGGCTGCGGACCGCGGGTGTCAAAGCGATGGAGAGCGCGATGGAGAGGGAGGTGGTTCGGAGAATAGCTATGGCTTTGCCCGAATTTGGTGCCGTGGGTAATTGCAAAGGCGGCCTTAATCACCACGAACTCCCGCAGGCAGCGATCCCCGTGATAATGCCACGTGGCAGCAGGCTAGATAGTTGGAAAGCCGGAGACTGCAGATTGGAAGAAGAAAGCATCTCTCGGGCTATTAGGGAGAAGAAGGTAGCAATCCAGTTCCCATTCCCGATCCCGATCCCGATCCCGATCCCGACTCCAGTAATCCCGGTGATAATGCCATGTGGCAGCAGACTGGAAAGCTGGAAAGGCGGAGACAGCAGAACTAGTGCACATGGAGTCGTGAGCGTGAGCAGCTGGAGAGCAAGGGCGGTTGGGATACCATCGAGAACGACGACGGCTCTCGACAGCAGTCGACGGCTGAACTGTCCTCCGCCGCTGTGTGTGCCACGTGGCTTTCTCACCGGGATTGAAAAGAGAGTTGAATGGATGGTTGCTTGCCCGAAAACGACCGGTCCTCGAGCGTCATCCCATATCAGCGCCAGGGGGACTGCATCTGAGCTCCAGGCAAATCCAGTAGAGGTCTTCTCGGCGTTGGATGTGGCTTGCATGACCGCTGGCAGCAGATTACGGGAGAAGAGGAGTGTCGAGAGCACAGGTGGCGCCGGGATCGGGACCGGCAAGGTTGAAATGTGTGGAGGAGAGGGAGGGGTACACGTGCGAGTCGGAGTCGGGATGGGCAGTCGTCGGGACGGCAGAATGTGTGGAGGAGAGGAGGTTGTCGGTATGATGACGACGGCGACGATGAAGGCGAGTCGAAGTTTCTCGACAGCGAGCCTTGTGCCGCCACCGCTGACAGATCCCGACTCGCTGCGATCCCTCAGAGGTGCGACGGTTGAGGGCCGGCCGCCGGCGCTGCACAGGCTTTTGATGTTACTGCAGGAGGAGGAGAGAAAGAGAGGGCGGCGGGGAGAGGGAGGCGGAGATGAGAGAGGATGGCCTGGGCGAGTAGTACTAACCGAAGGGGTCGGGATCGGGGGCGAAGGGGGAACAATAGAAGGAAGGGGAGGCGGCGCAGTCCCAATGCAGGCTGGTTGGATGGACGTGATCTCGACACTTCTGGTAATTATGGGCTCAGCAGGTGTTGGGTGGTTGGCAGCGCCACCTTTGGGATCATATTTCCCTGTTGTGGATGGCGAGGACGAGTGGACCAGTGAGGACGATAAAGATGATGCTGACGACATCTGCAACAAGGGCATACTTAGCGCCTCGTATGAGGCCGGGCACTGCTCAGATCCCTGCCATCAGCATACAGGCGTGAGGGGGTGCAGTGAGTTATTACTCTCTGGTGAGTTCCCTATGCGCGAAAGGCTCTCTCCCTCCCTCTCTCACCTAAGCCTGTGCTGTAGCTATTACTCTGCTGGCTGGTGAGCTCCTATGCATGCTCTCTCTCTCTCTCTCTCTCTCTCTCTCTCTCTCTCTCTCCCCTAAGTCTGTACTGTAGCTCTTACTGTCCTCCCTGGGTGAGCTCCTGTACATGCATTCTCTCTCTCTGTCTCATACAAACACACATACTTAGAGGAACGTCTCTCTCTCTCTCTCTCTCACACACACACACACACACACACACACACACACACAAACGCACATACGCAGAGGAACATCTCTCTCTCTCTCACTCACGCACAAACACAAACACAAACACACGGAGGAAACAAATAGACTAAGGCTAACAGTCTAATCGGTCTACCAACAACGAGACAGGCAATACATTCTAGATCTCCATTGCCTATGCCTAGACTACACAGCCTAATAGGGCTACGAGGCCTAACGGGCCCACCTGAAATTTCAGAATAAAAGATTCTGAAGTGGTCTGAAACTGCTGAAATGGCCTGAAGACACTTCAAGTCATTTCAGAAGTTTTGGGTGGTTTGGAGGACAAGTTTTATGTTTTTTTTTTTCCGGTTTAAACCACCAGTACCTCTGCCTATGTTGGGAAATTATGATGTCTTGGCCAGTACCCAAACTTTTCGGGGGTGGGACACAGGGTCGGCAATGTCCCATAAATCTGAATTTTATAGTGCCGCGAGTGATTTCGGGGGTGGGACACAGGGTCGGCAATGTCCCATAAATCTGAATTTTATAGTGCCGCGAGTGAACGGAAAAAGGGAAAAAAAAAAAAGCTTTCTCTACTGCAATGATGTCGGGCTGGGTAGTCCAGGAGGCCGTGCTCACAATCGTCCTCCACAGAATGCACCTTACAGGTAAGGCGGTCACATTCTGACTGTTACTGTTTTCTTTGTTTCTTGGTCGTGTGTTTCTTGCGAGTCTCTTGTCCGTGAATTGCTCAAGCTATCCGTGATCTGCTCAAGCTGTGTTTTGTCAGAGGATTGTAAGGCTCATTACATGACACTTAGGGGAATGTATCCAGCCATTTTCACGACCGGATCCATGTGCCGGTTTTTTCCCCCTTTTATTCTCTTTTCGGAATCTGAGAACCTGGCCACGGGGCTGAGATGCCCTCGTTGAGGGCACACTCACACTACCACTTCCAATAATGTATACAACTGCAATCACGACCAAAACTTTGTTTCCTTTTTTTTTTTTTCTTCTTTTTCGAGGTTCACGGCCACAACTTTTTTTCTTCTTTTTTGTTTTTTTTTTGTTCTTTCCTTGAGAGTACTAGAAAGAAAACGGAGTGGTACCCAAACTCGACAAAACTCGGAGCGCAGTGAAATTCAGGGTCGGCAAAAACAGGCTCGGAGGTACTGGTGGTTTAACGTTGTTGTGTGTCACCTGAAATGAAGCTTCTGAAAGGGGTTTCAGGTGGGGACCTGAAACCGCCGTAATGACTTGAAGTGGCTGAAGCCTGTGAAAGGGGTTTCAAGTACCCCCATCCAACCATTTGGATGGGGGTACCTGAAAACCCCTTTCAGAAGCTTCAGGCACTTCAAGTCATTTTAGGAGTTTCAGGTGGGGACCTGAAGCGGCTGAAAGTGACCTGAAGTGGTTGAAGCCTCTGAAAGGGGTTTCAGGATGGGGGTACCCGAAACCCCTTTCAAAAGCTTCAGCCACTTCAAGTCATTTTAGGAATTTCAGGTGGGGACCTGAAACCGCAGTAATGACTTGAAGTGGTTGAAGCCTGTGAAAGGGGTTTCAGGTACCCCCATCCAATCATTTGCCAACCATTTGGATGGGGGTACCTGAAAACCCCTTTCAGAAGCTTCAGCCACTTCAGGTCATTTCAGGAGTTTCAAGTGGGGACCTGAAGCGGCTGAAAGTGACTTGTAAGTAACGCTTGTTGTTAACCATCTCTCTCCAGAGCACGAAGTTATGCTCATGGGCAGAAACCGAGCTGACAGAATTGTTTTCTTTTTTATTTTGACTGATAAAATTATCCCACACCCAATGGCTGGCCTTCAATGGCGCACCGTGAAATTATGCTCGCTCGCCAAGTGGACAGTTGTGGTCCAATGGCTGCGAGGTATGAGCGAAATTCCAGCCATCCGGTAGTTGGGGATATGAATAATTTGGCTGGTCCACTTGAGTCATGGGTATGCCCGTAATTTTGTTTGGGTATGTCCATCATTTGTGCATTTCGCTAGTTGGCTATAATTGTTGTGCCAACCTGGATCGATGTAGGTCCTGGGCTTGCAAATAATTTTCACCCGCCCCTTTTTGGGTATAAATGCAAGTTGGCCCTGGGACTGTGTATAGTGGGTATTCCCATTTTTAAACCACCAGTACCTCCTCGTTGTTTTTTAGAAGTCGCGGCCGTTAACGCGCCGCAACTTTCGGGGGTCGGACAAAACAACGTCTGGTCGCTTGTTAAAAAAAAAAAACAAAAAAAAAAACAGGAGTACAATGCTGGAAA